CAATTCATGGCTCTTTGTCCCCCTCTTCTTCTTCTTATGAACATCCTAAAGGTAACCCTTTACTTTTTTTGTTTACCTTTTATAGATTCAATCTTTATCATAGAATGTGATAATTTCAAGCTTTTTAGCACCTTGGTTTCAATTTTCTTGTGTGCTTGTATCAATTATATGTAGTTGTTTTTTCTCTGTTATTTCGTGGCTCGTTTGTCTTCTTATGAACAATCCAAAGATTTCCATTACTTGTCCATTTCAAAGTTTCAATATTTCTCCTAGATTTGATTGATATATTTGGACAATTTTAGCATTTAGGCTTAATTTTTTTGTTTCAGATTTTTGGTTTGTTTTGATCCTTGTCTTCTTACTTAACAACCCAAATGTATCTGTTGATTTTCCATTTAAGAGTTTCAATACTTATCTTGAGTTTGATTGGAGAAATTTCAGAATCTGGTTTGAATTTCGGGTTATTTGATTTTGGGTTTTATCTATTCTTTAATTAATTTGTTATTGTGTATATGCAGTGTCCCAATTGGAGAAGAAGAAAGGGCGAGATCATATGAGTGGGAATGGGTGTGATAGATACTACCCATTTTTGTAAATGGGTTGAAATAATATCTATTTTTGGTTCCAGTCAAAGATTGTCACGTGGCCCAATTAAAAATCACCACGTCATTAAATGAAAGACCCATCCCTATCGTTTGCTAAATGGTTTATAAATACCCTCCGTCCATCTATCTGTTCAAAAAAAACACTCCATCAGTTCTCTCGTTAGTCGTGGGGGTATTTTTGTTAATAGAATTAACTTTGTGTATTTTTTTGAACGGATAGATGGACGGAGCGTATTTTTTTGAACGGATAGATGGAAGGAGGGTATTTATAAACCATTTAGCAAACGATAAGGATAGTTTTGGCCCTTTTCCGTTTTTAATTTGCCCCTCACGCTGGGTAAAAGCTTAGAACAAATTAAAAAGGAAAAGACAAGTAAATTTACGGGTAATAAGTATACTATTATAGTATATCGTATACTATTGCAGCATATTGTTACAGTATCTTGCATATTATTACAGTATACCATAACAATATATTGTATACTATAATAGTATACTGTTGCAATATAACTATATACTCCTATAGTATATTAGTATACTGTAGCGGTATACTGTTTTGTAAACTATAATAGTATAGTGTTGCATTATAGCTATATACTCCTACAATATATTGTATACCGTAGCGGTATATTGTAGCTCTATTCTTCTTCGTTTTTGAACTAAAAATTTCGATCTCAAGTCAGCTCCAAACGCTATCAAATTTCAGTATGAACTTCCAGAAGGTACTATAAGCAATATTTAACAGCACCCACTTTGAATCAAACAAGAAATCTTCAAAAATAAAATTGAGCTTCAAGCCCAACAATGGTGGATATTCAAATACACATAAAAATTTAGATCTGGGATGCTTACTCGAAGATACTATAAGCAATATTTTATAGCACCCACATCAAATCAAATAATAAATCTTCATAATAATAATAATAATAATAATAATAATAATAATAATAATAATAATAATAATAATAATAATATATTTTTGTGCTCTCCAAGTTCATATATTTTTATAACATTATATATTATTTAATAATATGTATTANCTATACTATATTAAAAGCACGAAGGCTCTTAGTGAAATGTCGTTCGCCTTTTTTACCCTTTAAAAATAGAGTTCACACTGGACAGAATAGTAATTTAAATATTTTCCTAATATGAAAGAATGATCATTTAATTATTTTCCTAACGGAAAAGGGCCAAAACTATCCCTATCGTTTGTTAAATAGTTTATAAATACCCTCCGTTCATCTATCCGTTCAAAAAAAATATACCCCGTCCATCTATCCGTTCAAAAAAACACACGAAGTTAATTCTATTAACAAAAATACCCCCGCGACTAACGACAGGATGGACAGAGTATTTTTTTTTAACGGATAGATGGACGGAGGGTATTTATAAACCATTTAGCAAACGATAGAGATTTTTGATCAAGAATCAAATATGGGTCTTGATTTTACCCATTTACCTGGTCCGACCCTATTTATTTGACCCGCCTAATTATTTTCTTTCTTTTTCTTTGTTTTTTTTCCCTCTCTTTTTCCTTATCACCCAGCACACCCACTCTCATCTCACAAAGAATTTTTAGCGTTTCTTTGTTGAAACAAATCTTTCTTTGTGTTTGAAAATATGGCTTTGGCTTTCACTTCATCTGCAATTCATGGCTCTTTGTCCTCCTCCTCTTCTTCTTCTTATGAACATCCCAAAGGTAACCCTTTACTCTTTTTTTTACCTTTTATAGATTCAATCTTTATCATAGAATGTGATAATTTCAAGCTTTTTAGCACCTTGGTTTCAATTTTCTTGTGTGCTTGTATCAATTATATGTAGTTAGTTTTTCTCTGTTATTTCGTGGCTCGTTTGTCTTCTTATGAACAATCCAAAGATTTCCATTACTTGTCCATTTCAAAGTTTCAATATTTCTCCTAGATTTGATTGATATATTTGGACAATTTTAGCATTTAGGCTTAATTTTTTTGTTTCAGAATTTTGGTTTGTTTTGATCCTTGTCTTCTTACTTAACAACCCAAATGTATCTGTTGATTTTCCATTTAAGAGTTTCAATACTTATCTTGAGTTTGATTGGAGAAATTTCAGAATCTGTTTTGAATTTCGGGTTATTTGATTTTGGGTTTTATCTATTCTTTAATTAATTTGTTATTGTGTATATGCAGTGTCCTAATTGGAGAAGAAGAAAGGGCGAGATCATATGAGTGGGAATGGGTGTGATAGATACTACCCATTTTTGTAAATGGGTTGAAGTAATATCTATTTTTCAAAGATTGCCACGTGGCCCAATTAAAAATCACCACGTCATTAAATGAAAGACCCATCCCTATCGTTTGCTAAATGGTTTATAAATACCCTCAGTCCATCTATCCGTTCAAAAAAACACACTCCATCAATTCTCTCGTTAGTCGTGGGGGTATTTTTGTTAATAGAATTAACTTTGTGTGTTTTTTTGAACGGATAGATGGGCGGAGTGTATTTTTTTGAACGGATAGATGAATGGAGGGTATTTATAAACCATTTAGCAAACGATAGGGATAGTTTTGGCCCTTTTCCGTATTATCTATTGGCACCCACTTGTGGTCCAACTTGTAAGCTCCAAAATATTTCCTTATTGCAGTTGATTGATGATAGGCTATAATTACGTATTTTAGTCGCTTATTACACTCTAATTTACCGCACTTTAATTGAGTTTGAGCTTTAATCGCTAGTGTCTTGCGCTAACTGTGTGTTTTATGCCTTGTAGGAGTGATTCCGAGCTATGTAGATGTTATGGAATGAACTCAAGTGATTTAGAGCTTTGAAGTCTGAGTAAAAGCTCAAAGAATTAAGCCGGGATCGTGTTTGGGGGTCAACGGATGATAGTTAGAGCGAACGAAGAATCGAGTAGGCATATCGCGCACCGTCTAGTAAAATGGATATAACTTTTCGCTCAGAACTCCATTTGAGCTCCACAATTAATGGTTGGAAAGCTAACTCAAAGGTCTACAACTTTCATGTTTTACATTTTTCCAAATTCCAAAGGAACAGGGTAAAAAACGCTATTGAAACTGCAACTGCGGATCTGACGCGGCAGAACACTGCTGCAGATTCTGAAGGCCACTCTGGCCGCGGTCCTGGCGTAACCGCGGTAGGACCTCGGCAAGACGCGTAAACTTCAGGGACCAAAGTGCAAAACACGGGATTTTAAGCCCTAAACTCTATATTAAACGAGGGAAGCCGACCAAGAAAGGAGAGATATATTTTTAACATATTTTTGACACATATTTGACCTAAGGAGGAGAGACACTACTTTAGGGTTAGACAACACCCTTGGAGGCAAGAACACGCTAGGAGCAAGGAGGAAGATTCAACTACGAGTTTTTCCCCTTCTTCTTCCTATTTTTTCATTGTTGGTTATGATTTTTAGTATTGTAGTTTTACATACTATTATGAATAGCTAATTCGTTTTTTAGGGTTTTGATGGAACCTTTTGGGGATGAATTAGTTGTTATATTAATATAGTTTTGAGTTAGTTGCTAATCTCTATTTGTTCAACTACGTTTTGATTTTGGTTAATTGAAAGGATCCTCAATTAGCCGTTCCTATTTATTATGTGTCTGCTTGAGAGAAAGTGCATATTTAGGTAGTTGTTTGAATAACATCACTCCCGGAGTATAGGCGAGAGTCATAACCGAGGGTTTAGAGGTTGGATTAGAGATAACGATACCTCGGGTGCGATCTAAGTGAACTGTAATGTGAATCTAGCTAGCGTAGCTTGAGAGAGTGCGTCTAGTAAATTATCATAATTGCTTGAGAGAGATTTATGATAGCTGGAGAGTTCATGATTGATAGAGGCAACTAAGTCAAAGCTATAAGAAACATACAACTAATGAAATCAACAATTGGGGAAATCATAACTCTAGACCTCCTTAATTTAGTCTCCAAACCTTTGTCTCGTTAGTTGATAATTTTACGTTTTATAGTATTTGTTGGTTAATTAGTTAGATACAAAAATCTTAATATTATAATTTGGAAATTGTTCAACTTGTCTTCTTTGCGATATTGAACAATTACAGCGAAACCTTAGTTCTCTGTGGGATTCGACTCCGGACTTTTAGACCGGATTATATTTGCAGCGACCGCTTATCTTTTTTAGAACTAGAGTTGGCCGTGATCATTGATCTATCCCAACTATCTCAATTACAGTTCCAGCACCCAAATCAACATCCGCAACAAAATGCAAACATCATACTCAATTGCTAACACATAATATTTGACAATTTAGCAAGTCTTGAAGCGTGAAACAAACTCAATCTATTTCGTTAGAACTTATATAGTTGGACGATCGTGTAGTGCAATAACCATGTGCACAATCCAAACAATATGAGTTGGCGATTCAATATTGGTGTTCACACTTCTTGGAATATTTTACACTTGCTCTAATTTAAAATCTTGAAATAAGCTACAGCTGACTTGCTACCTCTCTGTCCCCAACTACCCCGTGTTTTGATATTAATTCCCCCTTTATTTACATTTGCGTATTTTCTACCTGAAAATTTCTTTTGTGTTTGTATGATTTCCCTCATTCCTAGCTATTGAGCTTCATCTCCATTAACATTCAACCTGTCCATTAATTAGATTCCAAAATGTTACCTACCACAATTGAGTTGTCGTCACAGCCAATGGTGGGCATTGAGGAAGAGGAACAAGTGCTGATGGACAAAATTCTTGGCGGAACAGATCAGCTGAGCGTTGTCGCGATTGTTGGCGTACCCGGACTTGGTAAGACAACTCTAGCCAAAAAGTTATATACCCATGAAAATATAGTCAATCGCTTTGATGTTCGTTCATGGTGTTGTGTCTCTCAAATCTATGACAAGAAAAGATTATTGCTTGAATTATTGGGCTATGAATTTGGACGCCATGTTGAAATCGAGAGGAGTGAAGATGAATTAATCTTACAAGTACAAAGGTGTCTAGAGAAAAAGAGATATTTAGTAGTCATAGATGATGTATGGAGCACTGCTATATGGGATGACTTAGTCAGTTGTTTCCCAGATAACAACAAAAAGAGTAGAATTATTATAACTACTAGGCTTGATCACCAACTGCTTTCTTCTTCTGTAAAAATGTTTTGCTATACTCATCATCTTTCGTTCCTCGCGAAAGATAAAAGTTGGTTGTTATTACAGAAGACAGTGTTTAAGGAAGAATTTGGCTGCCATCAAGAACTTGAGGAAATAGGGAAGAAGATAGCAAAAAGTTGTGCAGGACTGCCTCTTGCAGTTATTTTGATAGGTAATCTTCTTGCAAGATTGGACAAGAAAAGAGGCTATTGGACTAAAGTTGCTAAAAGGTTAATTGCTAGTGCAAAAGTGGCTGGTGAGGGAGAGTGGTACATGGACATAATAGAGTTAAATTACAAGAATTTACCACATTATTTAAAACCATGCTTTCTTTACTTTGGTTTGTTTCTTGAAGATGAGGAAGTTTCAGTTAAGAAGTTGATACGGATGTGGGTTGCTGAAGGTTTTGTGCAAAGTAATGGGGTGAAGATCGCAGAGTTTGTCGCGATGGACTATTTGATTGATTTAATTGCAAGCAATCTTGTTATGGTTGCGCAAAGATTTCCCCTTGGTGGCATAAAATCTGTTCGTCTTCACGATTTGGTACTAGATTTTTGTTTGAGTAAAGCTAAAGAAGAGAACTTTTTGTTGAAAGTTGATAGGTAAGGAGTACCCTTTAATTTTTTTGGACTTGATTTTATATTAGGTTTCTTTTCTCATTTTAGATCTTATTCTTTTTTTCAGATCTCTTGCTCTTGATCCTGCTACTTCGAGTTCAGCTAGTGATTTACAAAGGTTCTTCGTTTGCTGTAAAATGCAGCACTTCATCAAGTGGCTTCATCCGACCCAACACATCCATACTTTTAGGTTATATCCCCACAGTAATGAAATGAACAAATTCATACCAAGTGGAGCATTTAGTTCAGACTTGTTCAAATCATCACTTACAGTACTGGACTTGGAGAACGTTGTGATCGAGGCTTCAGCTCTCGAGGACATAACATCCTTGATTCGTTTAAGGTACTTGGCAGTTTTTGGAAATTTTAGTGAAATTCCACCAGCCATATTGAACCTTATAAACCTGGAAACTTTAGCCGCGAGACCAAAAAGTGGTACCTTAACTCTTCCGGGGTCTATGTGGGACATGATAAACTTAAAGCATGTCGATATAAGTGAAGGGGAAGTTCATTTCAACGGTGTTGGGGCAGAAAAAGAAGATGTTATTGAGTTAGAGAAATTAGAGAGCTTTTCAAAAGTAGTTTTAGTAAATGAGGATGATATAAGTGAAATGTGCAACAGAGCACCAAACTTAGTCCAACTTGAACTTATGACTATGGAGCATTGGGGCTCGTTGTTCAGCTCTCTCATGTATCTAATATATCTTGAAACACTAGCTATCTATCACCGTAGCGAATTTCCAATGAGTGGAATTAGCATGATCTTCCCTCAAAGCCTAAAAGAGTTAACTTTATCTTGTTGTGGCTTCTCTTGGGATGAAATTTCAAGAATTGGTTCATTACCAAATCTTGAGGTGCTAAACCTACTTCTTTCTGCCTTCACTGGGAGAAAATGGACAGTTGGTGTTGGAGGTTTCGTTAATGTAAGGTTCTTGAAGATCGAACATAGTTCGATCAAACATTGGAACATGTCAGTGGATTCATTTCCCAGTCTCGAGCAATTGGTGTTGCGTTGGTGCGATAAACTTGAGGAGATACCTTCGAGTTTTGGGAGCATGCCTTCACTGCAGAGGATTGAGGCGCACTCTTGTTGCCCCTCTGCCGCAAAATCTGCCGTGAAAAGTAGGAACATGCAGAAGGATGACATGAAAAATTCAGACTTCAAACTCATTATCTACTTAAATTAGGGTGATGTGATTTTCTTCTATATTTTCATCTTTTTATGTGTTTATTCTTTCACTTGCTATTTTGCTTACAGATTTAATGGTGTCATATGAGTTTGAATTCTTGGATTACTTTTTGCTTGATATGATTTTAAATGCTAATGATTTGTCCTTTTACTTTCACAAGTCTACGAGGATGTTTGGCTAAGCTTATAAGCCGGTCAAACTAGCTTATAAGTACTTTTCGGCTTATCTACGCGTTTGGTAAAGTTAAAAGTGCTTATAAGCCAAGTGCTTATAAGTCAGAAATAAGCCAAAAGCCATAAGTTGGTCACCCCCAGCTTATCAATTTTTAGCTTATAAGCACTTTAAGTTTGACCAAGATTTTTACTATTTTATCCTTAAAATATTCTTTTTGAACAAAACTCTTACATCGATACTCACTGCCTCAAGTATTGTTTCAACCTAAATCCCCTTCCCTCCCTGCTTGTTCAAGTCTGCAAATCTCATTGACTATTTAAGATAAGCAAATTCTCTATTCCTTTGCATATTTGTATCTATGTGATTGTGTATTAAACTTTGAAGTGTTGTGGTGATGAAGATAGTGTTTGTTTCTCTTCAAATATTTTGTCCTATTTAGCTTTATTTGTTACTGAAAAACTTTTGTCAATTTATTAATTATAATAACTTATGACTATATGCTTATCATAAAATAAATTATATTTATCATAAAAGTTATCTTATCTAAGCACAGTTGTATTTAAAATAAAATGACAAATAGAATATTTTGTATTTGAATCGATCTGGAATCTTAAATTTTGAAGAAATTACGCCCTTATAAGTGTAAACAGTTTTAAGGTTATTTAAGTCATTTTAACAGAAAAAGAGCTTATCAGCACTTTTTTATAAAATATTGCAGCAGTTTATTATCAATTTCAGCACTTGTATCCAAATATGTAACTGCTTATTTATTAAATCAGTTTCAGCACTTACGAGTGCTTTTCAACACCTAATGCTTATCAGCTACTTCAAATCAGCTAATCCAAACGGGCTCTATATATACTACTTAGAGCGCGTAGTGCTTTTAAGCCATCTTGCAGTATCTCGATAAAGTAAAGAAGTGATTTTAAGCACTTGTTTTTAAGCTAAACTGACAAAAATAAGTCATAAGTTAGAATTATGGCTTATACTTAAAAGTCACTTAAAATAAGCACATCCAAATAAACTCTTAGTCAAAGATTAACTATGTGCTACTAGGTAGAAGCATACTACCACTACATATAACAAAGGGAGGGCAAAAATGGTAAGATGGTACTCGAAATTGGATTGGATAAGAAGCTTTTAACATTTTATTGATCGTTATAGTTTGATATATTCACAATATGCCTGAAATCTCAATCTAACAATACGATAAACATGTAATACAGAATTTAGAATACAATATGACCTGCAGGGCAAGTGTTCTTGAACATAAACATTATACAATCAAACTGAAAGGTAAAAGAGAACACAAATACTTTATCAGCAAAGTGTAACTGATAATTAGGAATATCATTTATTTATTTTTGTTGGCTTTCGCTTTAGCCTGCTTGATATCTTCCCCGAGAGATTTAACAATGCACATAAATTTGTCGAAATCTGTCGTGATCTCAAAAAGTTGTACATCTTCTGTATTGTATGATCTTTTCATATGTTCTCTAATTCTTTTGAACTCCCGCCAGAATTCTTTTGCTTCTTCTTCAGTGTACCCAAGTGAGAGGTATATTATAGCCTGTAAAAAGTTATCTTTAAGACGTAAGTGACCATTTTACTTTTGGCACAGGAAATACGAACTCTTAAAGAAAAAAGACGTATTTACTAAATTAACCTTAATTAATTATTACCTTGACATATTGGAATACGTAAATAAGGGCAAATTTGAAAAAATAAAATCAATTCCTTCTTTATTATGTAAATGGATACTTATTTTGAACAAAATAAAAATATAAAATGATCAGTTATTGTGGACTACAAAAGGGATTGAAAGCAATGACTTGTGATGTTCAATAAAGTAAAAACTAACGTACCTTATAAAGTGGACGCCTTGCATCGGTAATAAATTCATCATTTAAGCACTCATAACTTAGCGCCTTAATGAAATCTCCCTACAAAAATAATAGGACAACCAAGTTACTATAACATAGACTTAAATTTCTAAAAGTAAACATTAACGTACCTTATAAAGGGAATTTTGTAAAAAAAATTGAAGAGTTTAATGATTTAATTTAAGCCTTATAACATTAAGATCTAATGTAATCAATCGTTTGTTTCATTTTATGTGAGTCCATTTCCTTATTAGTCCGTTCAAAAAAAATTATATTAAAAAAACGTATCACTAGTTCGTGATTAAGTGAAGAAAAAAACCTGATAAATGAGCGATTCCACAAGTAACATCTCAAACTCATAAGCTTCATGTGGCTTTCCCTTTAACTGGGCTTTCCTTATTGCAGACTCCAATTTCTTCACTGCCTTGCTTTCTTTTCCACTCATTTCCAGCTTTGCAATACACCTCTAGTTAACAGTAAAAACAATTGCAGACTCGTTTCAATTTCAATTCTTTTTGTAATCCAGAAAATGACAAAATTATATATCGTAATCCCTTTTAAGTAATTTAAGAAGTGAGTGTACTAGCATGCTATGATCATTTAAGGTCACCAATAAATATTGAAGAGTCACCACATCGGCTCTATAAGGGATTGGTGGTCTGACTTTTTACTACTTTCGACCAAGTCATTATTAAAGAAACTCTTGTTTAGTTAGGACATCGTTCTCGTCCTTTGTGGTGCTTTTTCAACCCCTTGCTTTAACTTGGTCAATTTCATCTGAATTTGCTCCTATTCCAAGAGATACCGCATTTCCCTTGAAAAAAGAGGATGAATCGAAATATAGCTGCTACACCAAAACTAGGTGCAAAGAACCAACCAGACTGACCCAGTGGATAAATCAGAAATACAGAAACAAAAACAGCAATTGGACAAGAGAATGCGATTGCATTATAAGGTCTCAATTGAACAGATCGAGCAAGCTCGAATCTGCATCACCAGTTCAGGCATTCCTTATCTATAGAGCTAGCTTTAGGGGTTGACTTAAGCCCAATGTTCATTTCTTTCACATGGTATCTGAGCATGACTCATCCAATTCTTGTTTTCCAATACTGGCCCCCAGGTAAAAATTGCTCTTGTTGTTTAAGTGGGCATTTTAGACACAAGAATTGTAAAATTTCGAAACAAGTAAAATTTTTTTCAAGTAAAAATGGTATTTGAAAATTAGAGTTGTGTTTGGACATGAATATAATTTTAGGTTTTTGAATTTTTGTGAGTGATCTAAGTGAAAATTTTGAAAGTATCTTTTTGGAGTTTTTCGAATTTTCGTAAAATTCTAAATTCATCTTCAAATGAAAATTGAAAATTTTATGGCCAGAAAATGATTTCGAAAAAAAGTGATCTTTTTTCGAAAAAAGAGAAAAATTTCATGGCCAAACGGGCTCGAATAGTACAACAACAACAACATATCTAGTGTAGTCCCATAAGTGGGTTTGGAGAGGGTAGAGTGTACGCAGACTTTATCCCCTGCTTTTAGGAAGGCAGAGAGGCTGTTTCCGGTAGATCCTTGGCTCGGGAAGGAAAAAGGGGAGGGGCTGTTTAATTTCGAATAGTAGAAAAACAAATTAGACTTACTTGTAGTTTCTTGAAATTAGGTAGGTCCTCATTGAGTAGAGAATCCAGCTCCGTCTCTGTAACATCCAACAACTGAACGTTTGCCTTGGCTTGATGGTAGTCAACTAGTCTTTCAAGAGCCAATTCACCTCCATGCAAAACTCCAATGGACATTGACCTCGTTAATACTCGTTGAATTTTCCCTTTTTTCTTCTTTTTTTTGTTCTTCCATAGATGACCTGTAGAAACCATTATTAGATAAAAAACAGAACATAACGTTAAAACTGTTAGTAATCCATCGTGTTGAATTCCGACTTGGATTGCCTTTGCTTTCACTGCTTCAATGAAATGTTCTATTTGGAATTCCAAACTCATTTGCAAATAGTTTAATAGATTTTCCATATAGTTTCTATTGAGCCAAGAAATCTAGTACTTGTTTTGATTTGTGAGATACGGTTTTATATATAGAGTTCTTATCAATTAGGATTATTCTTTTTCTTTAGCATCTTTGGTGTCTTGAGAAAATGTCTGTTCTTCACTTGATTGCCAAGGAATTTTTGGATGCCTTAGTGTTGTGATTGCCATGTAGGAATGTTTGTTCGTCTTGTGTCTCAAGAGATCAATCTTTTAGATGGCTCCGTCTCTTTCCTTATGAATAATGCCCTGAAGTGTAAAAATTAAATGGAAGGTAAGGGATCTTTCTCTGCGTATACACTACCATCCCCAGACCCCACCTATGAAATAGTATAGGGTATATTATTGTTGTTGTAAGGGATCTTCCTGTTAAGGTTAATTTACTTGAACAAATGTATTGGACCAGCCACACTAACAAGAAATAAATCACATCTATATATTATTAAAAGCTAAAGAAAAAGGCACCACCTTAATTCAAGTGATAGCCTAGAAAAAAGCCACATGACATAATTAGTTATTGAGTTAATAATTAATTATTATAAATTAACAACCTAAAATTAACTACTCGAACATGGGTGAGGGTTGGTTTAGGTTAGTTAATTTTTTTAGTTTTTTTTTTTTTATCATTTTTCTTTTTCTTTTCTGAAATAAAAAGTGTAATTATTCATTAAAATTCAGAAAATATTATTTAGAATGATATAATTTAAAATAAAAAAATATTTCAAGAGTAATATATATCTTATATTATATTACAAAAAAAGTAGTAGACAAAAATATTAAGCAAGTAATATGCTAATAATTTCTATTAACAATGTAATTATACTAAACAATTGGATAATATATAAAGAAAAATACAGAACAAAAAAGTTATTCGGTGACTATATAAGTCCATTTAATTTAATAGCAATTTTACTCATTAAATTCAGACAATATCTATTCTATAGAATAAGAGAAGCAAATCAATGTGATGATGCCAAACATAACAACAAAAATTTAACAAGTCATCAGTGCCCAAAGGTTCATTGGAAAACTATACAGGTGGGATCAAATGCAATACCTAGGCATACTT